AAAACCCCAAAACCCCAAAACCCCAAAACCCCAAAACCCCATCGGAAGATAAATAAAAATGAATTGAAATTATGAAATATTAACAGAATATCAATAAGTGCAAATATGAACATCAAATCACCAGTTTAAATTGCAAGCCAGCAAAATAGCTCATCTGGTTTCAATGATGAAACTCTACAAATGCTTTAATAATTGAAATAAGATATTTAGCTGGAGAAAGATATGAGATTTAAAGTATAAAGGGAAAATCAAAAGCTGTGACAGCAATATACTTGGCTTAAATAAGAAATCAAATCAATTATAGCTGATCTTACATTTAAAAACTCAAATCCATTGATTGTCTCAGATGGCATGTCAGTCTAGTAGGATGATCCTGATATCATTTTTACAACAAAAGATAGCATATAATAACTCATGAATGAAAAAGAGGATCTTTAAAACTAGCTTAATAATCTATAGCTATTTGTTTAGAGTTTATAGAGACCTTAAATTTGCTAGAAGTGTCGCCAATCTCTATCAAGTTAATCTCAAATGATGAGTACATCGATGAGCTTTATAAAAACTGATTAGTCTTAATAACTTGTAATGATTCCTAAGACCTATCAAAATATGGGCTATCAAATTGATATAATCGGAATTAATTACATAAAACATAATGAAGATAAAATAGAGATTTTTAATTTGAAAGTTAAAAGTTCGAGGGACTAGTCAAATGAAGGGGTATCTAGTAGAAACTGGGATATATCTAGATTGCTCAATTAATTTATTTTGCTATCCAACGATCTTAAGTCTCTTAATTTTCAGCTATCAGGCTTAATTGGGCCATAAGTGAAATTTCTTAATAGAACAGAAAAAATTTAAATATTGCAAAACTTTTTGAATGAATGCTTGTAAAATCCTCTTATCGTTGAATCAGAGGTTTTTAAATAGTTTATTGGTGTAGTTTAAGAGAAAAATATCATTCAAAAACTTAAATCTCCTAAGAATAAAAATGAATCAATTACTAGAGGACTTCATTCAAGAACTAAATCAGCAGCCTTATTTTTGAATTAGCCTTCAACAATTTCTTAGAATATATCTAAATTGGAAAAATCCTCAATAGTTAAAAAAAGCATTGATAAAAAGATATTCACCAAAGTTCCAACTCCCTCTATACAGGAAGCTTTTGGAGTACCTTATTAACATCTTTTTAGTGCATCAGCAAGCACAAAAAATCTAATACTTATGACAAAATCAAATACCATTACGAATTCAACTCTATATTCTAAATCTGGAATTAACACTACTTCAAATGGAGTTTCAACTAATCGTAAAAAATCAGGGACTAGCGAGCATAAAATTAAAAATTAAAAGTAATCTTTCGCATAGAAAAAATCCTTTAATAAAAGAACATAGTCTTCAAATAAAAAGTAAAATACTCTTTAAAGGGAAACAATTCAATAAATGACTACAACTTGTCAACAAACACTGATAGATCCAATTTTTACTACTATTGAAACGCCAAGGGAATTCAATTTAAATTAGAATAAAGTGATGATAAAAGATAATTAAGTTGATATTACGCTAAATAGACCAAGCTTTCTAGAAATTTAATCAGTATCAAGGTAAAATCCTCACGATTCAAAACAAAACAGTGCTGCGTAAGGAGCAAGGACTAAGTCACAGACAAATGATTTGAATGATATGTTAATTGAGGAATAAAAAATATTGGAACAGAAGAGAAAGAGATCTTAAGAGCCAAAACTAGATGAATCAGGTGAACTAGAATTGCTGACATTCAATGAATACATGGCAAATGCAAAGATTGCAAGGAAACTAAAAAAATCAAATGAAAACACTAGAAGTAAGTTTATCTGCTTTTACTTAACAAATTACTATAGAGTAATCACCGATTGATTATAAATAGCCATTTTTGCAAGGATTCACTTAAAAATAGCTATAAAATCAAATGAATTCTTAAGCTAATAATTAGATTAATGCTATTCCAGAAAACAAAAGTGATACACATAATAAAATGAGCAATTTGGTTTCAAATCTTATATAGAAAACAATAGGTGCAAAAAGACAGTAAAACAGACAGCATACAGATTCCCCTTAATCTCAGCATAGCCATTAAGATGGTGATGAGGAAACAGAGGAGTTCAATAAAAGATTTAATCCCACTGTGCTGATGAAAAATCAATCAATGAAGGAGCATTTTAAAAAGTAAAGAAGACAAAATATTTATGAAAACTTAGTAAACGATTAACAAAACAAAAATAATGAGTCTGATGAGCAGGATTGCAAAAGAACAAATAATATAAGAAAATCAGGGAGTGCTGAGAATAGATATAATGCTCAGTTGACAAAAATAGCGAGTACAAACATTACTAGGCTTACTGGGAAAGGTAGTGGTCTTAACACTCATAGATAAAAGGCACCAGGCCAGGGTTAGGGTCTTAATGTTTACAATATTTAAAAAGATAGGAAGATAATTACTTATATGACTCCTTCTAATGATACACTGCATAAAAATTTTTTCAAAAATTAGTTAAAACAAGCAGCTCAAAATTGAATACATAAATATTAATTGATTCAATAATTAATCTTGAACAGAGTGAATAATTTTTACTCAGGGGTTTTGGGGTTTTGGGG